GAGGTGCAGTCGGATTCTCAAAGCACCGATGTCTCTTCTCCTAAATCCTTTTGAATTCTCCTATCCACTATTCCTTAACCCCGTGACGTTTCACACAGAGGTCAAGGGATAGACGATAGGGGTAGACGATAGGGATAGACGATAGGGATAGACGATAGGAATAGACGATAGGGATAGACGATGGGGATAGACAATAGGAATAGACAATGGGGATAGACGATAGGGATAGACGATAGGAATAGACGATAGGGGTAGACGATAGGGATAGGCGATAGGGATAGACGATGGGGGTAGACGATAGGGATAGACGATGGGGGTAGACGATAGGGATAGACGATGGGGGTAGACGATAGGGGTAGACGATAGGGATAGACGATAGGGGTAGACGATAGGGATAGACGATAGGGATAGACAATAGGGATAGACGATGGGGGTAGACGATGGGGGTAGACAATAGGGATAGACGATAGGGGTAGACGATAGGGATAGACGATAGGGATAGACGATAGGGATAGACGATAGGGATAGACGATAGGGATAGACGATAGGGATAGACGATGGGGATAGACGATAGGGATAGACGATAGGGATAGACAATGGGGGTAGACGATAGAGGGTAGACGATAGGGGTAGACGATGGGGATAGACGATAGGGATAGACGATAGGGATAGACGATAGGAATAGACGATGGGGGTAGATGATAGGGATAGACGATAGGGATAGACAATGGGGATAGACGATGGGGGTAGACAATAGGGATAGACGATAGGGGTAGACGATAGGGATAGACGTTAGGGATAGACGATAGGGATAGACGATAGGGATAGACGATAGGGATAGACGATAGGGATAGACGATGGGGATAGACGATAGGGATAGACGATAGGGGTAGACGATAGGGATAGACGATAGGGGTAGACGATAGGGATAGACAATGGGGGTAGACGATAGGGGTAGACGATAGGGGTAGACGATGGGGATAGACGATAGGGATAGACGATAGGGATAGACGATAGGAATAGACGATGGGGGTAGACGATAGGGATAGACGATAGGGATAGACGATGGGGGTAGACGATAGGGATAGACGATAGGGGTAGACGATAGGGATAGACGATAGGGATAGACGATAGGGATAGACGATAGGGATAGACGATGGGGATAGACGATAGGGATAGACGATAGGGATAGACGATAGGGATAGACGATGGGGATAGACGATGGGGATAGACGATAGGGATAGACGATAGGGGTAGACGATAGGGATAGACGATAGGGATAGGCGATAGGGATAGACGATGGGGATAGACGATGGGGATAGACGATAGGGATAGACGATGGGAATAGACGATGGGGGTAGACGATAGGGATAGACGATAGGGATAGACGATGGGGGTAGACGATAGGGATAGACGATAGGGGTAGACGATAGGGATAGACGATAGGGATAGACGATAGGGATAGACGATAGGGATAGACGATGGGGATAGACGATAGGGATAGACGATAGGGATAGACGATAGGGATAGACGATGAGGGATAGACGATGGGGATAGACGATAGGGATAGACGATAGGGATAGACGATGGGGATAGACGATGGGGATAGACGATAGGGGTAGACGATAGGGATAGACGATAGGGATAGACGATAGGGATAGACGATGGGGATAGACGATGGGGATAGACGATAGGGATAGACGATAGGGATAGACGATAGGGATAGACGATAGGGATAGACGATAGGGATAGACGATGGGGATAGACGATGGGGATAGACGATGGGGGTAGACGATGGGAATAGACGATGGGGATAGACGATGGGGGTAGACGATGGGAATAGACGATGGGGATAGACGATGGGGATAGACGATGGGGATAGACGATGGGAATAGACGATGGGGGTAGACGATGGGGGTAGACGATGGGGGTAGACGATGGGGGTAGACGATAGGGGTAGACGATGGGGATAGACGATGGGGGTAGACAATGGGGGTAGACGATGGGGATAGACGATGGGGGTAGACGATAGGGATAGACGATAGGAATAGACGATGGGGATAGACGATGGGGGTAGACGATGGGGGTAGACGATGGGGGTAGACGATAGGGGTAGACGATAGGGGTAGACGATAGGGATAGACGATAGGGATAGACGATGGGGGTAGACGATAGGGACAGACGATAGGGGTAGACGATAGGGATAGACGATAGGGGTAGACGATAGGGGTAGACGATAGGGGTAGACGATAGGGGTAGACGATAGGGATAGACGATAGGGATAGACGATAGGGATAGACGATAGGGATAGACGATAGGGGTAGACGATGGGGGTAGACGATGGGGGTAGACGATGGGGGTAGACGATGGGGGTAGACGATGGGAATAGACGATGGGGATAGACGATGGGGATAGACGATGGGGATAGACGATGGGGATAGACGATGGGGATAGACGATGGGGATAGACGATGGGGATAGACGATGGGGATAGACGATAGGGGTAGACGATAGGGATAGACGATAGGAATAGACGATGGGGATAGACGATGGGGATAGACAATGGGGATAGACGATGGGGATAGACGATGGGGATAGACGATGGGGATAGACGATAGGGATAGACGATAGGAATAGACGATAGGGATAGACGTTAGGAGCAGATTTTTGGACTATTCGACTGCAGCCAGAGTCTGAATTTCGCCTCTCTGGCCGCCAGCTGATCAATTCAGGTCAAAATAATCAATAAGGAGCAACGTGTCAGTACATGTAGAGCAGATTAAAAGCTAGAAACTGCTGTGGTCTCACGTCACCTTACATACAGAGGATCCTCTCACTTGAATACAGTGGTGCAGTGATTATGTAATGTAAGCAATGCTTTTAATGTGTATTGTAATTGTTGTAAAGCACTTTGAGTTAAACTAGCCTTACCTTGGTTGATTTCCTCAGAGAAAAAGCATGAATTATGGTCAGGATTACAGAAATATTCCCCTCTTAAAGATACTGGATGATTGTATTATATATTATATACATTTGACAGCTTAAGTGTAAATGTAACTGGGAAGAAAACAGACTGGGAGGTAGTAGATGTTGAGAGTGAATGCTTGTGAGAAAGGTGCATACAGTACAATGGCTCCAAGGGACTGCTCCTGGCTTCTTATATAGGGAGCTGTTTATAACACAACACACACACACACACACACACACACACACACACACACACACACACACACACACACACACACACACACACACACACACACACACACACACACACACACACACACACACTTGCTCTGTCTTATTTCCTATATGAAGAAAGAGAGCTGGAATTCAGGAAGGGGGCCATTTTCCCCTGGAGCCAATTTTCAATACCAGGAGAATAGAGTCCGGAGGGCGCGGTATAAAGTGTGTGTGTGTGTGTGTGTGTGTGTGTGTGTGTCTGTGTGTGTGTGTGTGTGTGTTTCACAGGAAGTTGGGACAATCATAGTGTGCCGCAGAGCTGTGTATTCTGTGTTTTCTACCCAGAGGGCAGTCTGTGGGACATAACATCCTGAGGGTTTTATGTTGTAAAATACACACTTAAAATGTGGAATCTCTATATTGACACCATTATATTACAGCATTCATAAAGTAGTACAAAACTCAAGATACACTTCTGAGTGTCAATGAAGTTTTTCCAAAAATCTGACAGATTTCACACCTACAGAAATCATAGATCACAGGAATAGTTTTGATATGATTCAGCTTAAATATATGTTCGGGATTTATCAATAAGGTTTGAAAATGTTATACATTTTTTTTTTATAGAAAATCACAATTTACTATAAACATGTTTTACAATTTCAAGTAAAGACTTCCTAATATTTCCAGTTTGGATTATTTTTTTTTTAAACCTATATATTCACAACACCTTGTTTGTTACAGAAACTTTTTTTCAGATGTAATGTAAATATTTATTTAACATTTTTCCTCTTTGATATATTGAGAGGTTAATGATTTATTATGTCCTGTTGTGGTTTTGCTGAACTCTATCATTAAAGAGGCCTTATCATGCTGTTTGGGGTTCTCCCTTTCTCCTGCAGTGTGCTATGTAGTTCCCGAACATAGTGACATCACTATGGAACACTCGTGCTTCTATTGGCTAGCGCTCCAACACATTGCACGTGATAGGCTAAGGGGCGGGACATCTCAAATCGGTTGACCAATCACAACAGAGCCGGCCAGCTAACCAATCAGAGCAGACTGGGCTCTGGTTTCAGACAGAGGGTGAAAATAGGTGCTGCAGCACAGACAGTATGAGAACAATAAAGAGCTTTTTGAACATTAAAGCATGGAGACATGTCACAGTAGAGACACTACATACTGATATACACCTGAACATCAGCAGGAGAGGACTCTTTAAAGTAGAGACACTACATACTGATATACACCTGAACATCAGCAGGAGAGGACTCTTTAAAGTAGAGACACTACATACTGATATACACCTGAACATCAGCAGGAGAGGACTCTTTAAAGTAGAGACACTACATACTGATATACACCTGAACATCAGCAGGAGAGGACTCTTTAAAGTAGAGACACTACATACTGATATACACCTGAACATCAGCAGGAGAGGACTCTTTAAAGTAGAGACACTACATACTGATATACACCTGAACATCAGCAGGAGAGGACTCTTTAAAGTAGAGACACTACATACTGATATACACCTGAACATCAGGAGGAGAGGACTCTTTAAAGTAGAGACACTACATACTGATATACACCTGCACATCAGCAGGAGAGGACTCTTTAAAGTAGAGACACTACATACTGATATACACCTGAACATTAGCAGGAGAGGACTCTTTAAAGTAGACACTACATACTGATATACACCTGAACATCAGCAGGAAAGGACTCTTTAAAGTAGAGACACTACATACTGATATGAATCTGGAAAAGAGCAGAATGTGTTCATTTCTCACATGTGTCTCCCCCGCTTCTCTGCAGGACCGCCTGTTCTTCGTGATGGAGTACGTGAACGGAGGCGACCTGATGTTTCAGATCCAGAGATCGAGGAAGTTCGACGAGGCCAGATCTCGTTTCTACGCCGCCGAGGTCACGTCCGCTCTGATGTTCCTGCACCGGCACGGAGTCATATACAGGTAACCGTGCTAACAGGTAACCGTGCCCACAGGTTTAACCGTGCTAACTGGTAAACGTGCTAACAGGTAACCGTGCCAACAGTGCTAGCATCCAGGTCGCACAGTAAGAAATACGATGGGATTCATCATTTTGCACCGTTTTTCTCATTACCATTGAAAAATATATTCAAATTCTCATTTTTAAGAGAATCTGTACCAAACAAATGTGTTTTGTTAGGTCTATTCATATAATATGGAATATAGGATGCAACTTGTAGGCCGGGATATCACTGCAGCTCTACTAAACTTTATAAAATGTGTATTTTAACACATTTGTACTAGGGCTGTCAAGTTAACGCGTTAACGCAAAAAACAAATTAACGCCACTAATTATTTTAACGCGATTAACGCATGTGTATTTTTTGTCCTCGGCCGCCGTAGTTTCAGAGCGCATCGAGTGTAAAATACCATCTACAAGCTGATGCTGACAGCCCCGCTCCTGCTGCCCGCTTGTGGCAGACCACACTTCCACGCTCACCGGCAGGCCCGGACTGGCCATCGGGAGGACCGGGAGGGTGTGTGTATGTGTGGCGCGAGCGAAGCACACCTTACGTGTTGTTGTTAGCATCTGGTGCTAGCTAGCTGAGCTAACGGATATAAGGAGCTGTTTCAATGAAAACAGAGGAGCGACATTTCGCCGACAACTGCGCCGAGCACTTGACTTTATGCAGGTAGCCAGACAGCACACTCAGCACGGATAGTGCCGCAACACAGCTCATACACACAGGCATATATGCCTTGAGCTGCACATAGCTCCAACGATCCATCACAGTGTCTCCACATTCTCTCTCTCACACACACACACACACACACACACACACACACACACACACACACACACACACACACACACACACACACACACACACACACACACACACACACACACACACACACACACATTATTGTATGAGAGAGGTTCCAGGTTGAATTGAGGCGAATATTTGTAATGTTCAGGTTGTTGTGTTTAATATTCATGAGAATATTTGTCATTGTTCAAATGATAATAAACAAACATATAAAGCATAGTTGTCCACTCATATGTTGATAAGAGTATTAAAAACTTGAAAAATATCCCTCTAAGGTACATTTAGAACAGATAAAAAATGTGCGATTAATTTGCGATTAACTATGGACAATCATGCGATTAATCGCGATTAATCGCGATTAAATATTTTAATCGACTGACAGCCCTAATTTGTACACTTTTCCACGTGTCTTAATGTGATTTCGATGATTTTGAGCTGCCACATTACACTTGGTGCAACAATACTTTGCTTCACTTTTCAATTCTTTGCATATTTGAGCAGAAGCAGGAGTCTAACCTCAGACTCAGATCCGTTAATCCTTCGTTCACTGTGCAGCGTGGACCTGCTGCTTATTTGATTTAGTGCCTCCAACTGAGATATGCGTCTCCATTACCAGACCTATATAAATTCCTGGGAAACAGACAAAATAAACATTAAGTGAAACTCCCAGCTTTAATAAAGAGGAATATTCTACAGTAACGTATCACTAAAGTGCAATAAACAGGACTTGAACTCATCTTGTCCGCCTTAATCTTTGCATGAATGTGCTGTTTATTCAGCTAAGAAACATATCTGTGCAACGTTAAATGATCTCTACATTTTACAAAAGAAGCTCTCATTGGTCTTGCTCTTATTGTCTTCTTTCCTGAGACTTAATATGGTTTCCAAATGTCATCTAATGTCTTACACTGGGTTAATACTGTGGACAGGTACTAGGTCTAGCACAGCATTTGCTACCAGGCTGCAAAAAACGAAATGACTCTGCAAACAAACCTGAGGCCAGAGTGCAGACTTCTGCAATCCCAGGCTTTATCTTGCAATGATAACAACACTGAAAAGTAATGAGTGTGTCTGTCCTGTAAATTGGATGTCTTCCGTAATACTATTCATACTTTTATTTTTTATAGGTCATTACTTTTGCCCTTGCTTCATTCTTTCTCCAAGTTTCATGAAAGTCGGGCTAGTAGTATTTCTGTAATCGTGCTGTCAGACAAACCAACGATACCAAAAACATGACCTTCTTCGTAATAATGATTGGCTATTGTATGATATGTTTGGGGTAATCTAGTGGTGCAGTATTATTGTTACGCAGCGTCCACACAGCGGCGTACGTTGAAGCTTGCCGGTGGGCGTGTCTGAAACTCGACTAACAACCAATCACATGAATCTCCCGCCCCTGACACACAAGCACGCGGTTCGATTAGCTAGAGCTTGTACTGGCATATGATTTGATTGGCTGACGCTTCCGTCGAAGCTTCAAAAGTAGAACATTGCTCTACTTTTGAAGCGAACAACGCGAGCAAAGCGAACAACGCGAGCAAAGCGAAGCGACGGAACCACAATGTTCGGCAAAGCGTGACGTCAGCCCATTCAAAGTGAATGGGCAGAAGCGTTGAAGCTTCAACGCACGCCACCGTGTGGACGGGCCGTTAGCATCCCAAAGGCTTCTTGACAAAAAGCCAGTGGGATTTCTTTGATTTGATTTTGGAAAATTGCAGAAAATGATATCTGTGGCAAACAAACATTTACGATACAAACTCATTTAGATGTGAGGGTGTCGTTTTTCTCATACTGATATTCTGAACAAACTGTGCTGTTGTATTTGCTGTAAAGTGTCTTTACTGTAGGGTATTTTTATTATATGTACAGCACTTTGGCTCGACCAAAAATCGTTTAAAAATGTGCTATATAAATAAAACTTGATTTGATTTGATTTGATTTAATTTCATAGAACAAAACGGTTAAAATCTCTTCAGCTTGTGTTCACCACAGACCTTATTTCAGGATAACAGCCAAAAACACGTTCAGAAAACCATTGATTCATAGACGAGGGGACAGCAAGTGGTGATTCATTTTGGGGTTTTAGGACTCAATACAGCACCCCTTCTATGAATCTAAACTAGGTGCAATTTTTGGGATTGTCATGTCCTGTAAATTCCCCCAATGTTTTGTTTTCTACATTGGCTGATATTTGGATATGGTTGCCATCTTGGCTTGACAATTTGATCTTGATTTAAATATCTCAGCAAATATATGTAAAATGTTTCGCTTTGTTTGGATCAAATCCTTCAGTAAACGGACCTTTGAACGTAAAGCCATGTTTGTTGAGTGCATACTGTGTTCAATCATACTGAAAAAACATGTTTTTACCAATAAACTCAAACCCTCTGACCCATGAAGTGCTGCGTGTTGGTCTGCAGGTCCAGATTACCTCAGGTTCTGTTATCAGTGTGTGTGTGTGTGTGTGTGTGTGTGTGTGTGTGTGTGTGTGTGTGTGTGTGTGTGTGTGTGTGTGTGTGTGTGTGTGTGTGTGTGTGTGTGTGTGTGTGTGTGTGTGTGTGTGTGTGTGTGTGTGTGTGTGTGTGTGTGTGTGCCCTTCATTGTCCGTGTACCTGGCCTCACAGAGTCATGAATATACAAAACGTTGGCATATAAACACAGACACGATGTCCCCAGATTGAGGAAGCAGGCGGGGAACATGAATCTGTGAGAGTATTGTTTGGTGTTCGGGAAAGAGAGGTCGGTTAAACTCGACAGAAGATGGTTTCATGTACAGTCCCCATTAATTTACTGGTACTAAAACAGTACATTTGGCAGCTTTAACATGGCAAATCTCCAGCTGTTGTCCTCGGCTAGATGATAATACACACCCTAAAAGCACAATACATCACAAGGGTTAATTAAGAAGAAAGGAGGAAAGACAAGAATATAGAGGAGATAGGATAAAAGAGAACAGTCACATTAAATTGTAAAACCACAGGTAATGCGGGACATACAGGCATTAAAGGCATTAGCACCGATGATAATAATAATACATTTGATGTGTAAAGCACCTCTCATTACTAAAAGCAATCCCAAAGTGCTACAAGGGGCATACAAGTCAATGTAGTTTACATAACAATAAAGTGTGGCACAGAAGCAACACATAACATCCACACACGTTACTACATACAGAATATGTCACGTCCAACAACAATCACATAGGGGAAGTGAACAGAAACACGGGGCAACATCCATGATCGTTACATACAGAGGTGGGAAGTATTGGAGTACAAATACTTTGTTACTGTACTCAAGTACATGTTTCTGGTATCAGTACTTTACTCCACTATTTATTTTTCTGACGACTTTTTACTTTGACTTCTTACATGTTGAACCCAAATACCTGTACTTTCTACTTCTTACATTTTAAACCCAAATACCTGTACTTTCTACTTCTTACATTTTAAACCCAAATACCTGTACTTTCTACTTCTTACATGTTGAACACAAATACCTGTACTTTCTACTTCTTACATTTTGAACACAAATACCTGTACTTTCTACTTCTTACATGTTGAACCCAAATACCTGTACTTTCTACTTCTTACATGTTGAACACAAATACCTGTACTTTCTACTTCTTACATTTTAAACCCAAATACCTGTACTTTCTACTTCTTACATGTTGAACACAAATACCTGTACTTTCTACTTCTTACATTTTGAACCCAAATACCTGTACTTTCTACTTCTTACATTTTGAACCCAAATACCTGTACTTTCTAGTTCTTACATGTTGAACACAAATACCTGTACTTTCTACTTCTTACATGTTGAACTCAAATACCTGTACTTTCTACTTCTTACATGTTGAACACAAATACCTGTACTTTCTACTTCTTACATGTTGAACACAAATACCTGTACTTTCTACTTCTTACATGTTGAACTCAAATACCTGTACTTTCTACTTCTTACATGTTGAACACAAATACCTGTACTTTCTACTTCTTACATGTTGAACTCAAATACCTGTACTTTCTACTTCTTACATGTTGAACACAAATACCTGTACTTTCTACTTCTTACATTTTGAACACAAATACTTGTACTTTCTACTTCTCACATGTTGAACACAAATACCTGTACTTTCTACTTCTTACATGTTGA